AGAGAGGGAGAGACAGGGGGAGAGAGAGGGAGAGAGAGGGAGAGAGGGAGAGAGGGAGAGAGGGAGAGAGGTAGGGGGAGAAAGAAAGAAAGGCCAGGGACAAGATAAATCCTTCCCTGAGATCCACTCTATCCAATTTGTCCTCACCTCCTTGCATCTTCTCCCAACAATGTCACTAAGTTATGAATCCATCTATGGATGAATCCCCTGATAAATTAGAGCCTTTATGATATAATTACTACCCTATCATCTGGCATCCAAGCTTTTTTTTTTTTTGGGTCCGGTTGTGGGGCCTGAACTCTGGGCCTGGGTGCTGTCCCTCAGCTCTTCAGCTCAAGGCTAGTGCTCTACCACTTGAGCCACAGCGCCACTCCGGCTTTTTTCTTTTTGCTTATGTGGTGCTGAGGAATCGAACCCAGGGCCTCAGGCATGCAAGGCAAGCGCTCTACCACTGAGCCATCTTCCCAGCCCCCCAAGCTTTTTTTATACGTGAATCTTCTCTTCCTTCCTTCCTTCCTTCCTTTGTTCCTTCCTTCCTTCCTTTTTTTTGGCCAGTCCTGGGGCTTGAACTCAGGACCTGGCCACTGTCCCTGAGCTTCTTTGTGCTCAAGGCTAGCACTCTACCACTTGAACCACATCTCCACTTCTGGCTTTTTCTGAGTAGTTTATTGGAGATAAGAGTTTCATGGACTTTCTTGCCTGGGCTGGCTTGAATCGTGATCCTCAGATCTCAGCTTCCTGAGGAACTAGGAATACAGACCTGAGCCACTGGTGCCTGGCCCTGTATATAAACTTTATTTTGTGTGATACTACAGCATCTAAACACTAACATTTGATACCTCAATTTACATCTTTTGGTATTGACTATTAGCTATATATAACTTATTAAAGTAGTTATTATTATTATTAATATCATTATGACCCTGGAGACAGGATCTCACTATGTCGTTCATGGTGGCTGAGAATTGGCTTGTCTGCTGCCTCAGCTCTGAGTGCTGTGGTTAGAGGTGTATATGTACCACCATGTGTGATATAGTTATTATTTTAAATTATTTTCATTTTAGCTTTCATACTTTTGGCATCAATGGCCTATTTGCCATATCTATAATATTTGAACATTCCTAATATACTACTATTCTACAGTGAGTTTTATACCTTCTTATGTTTTCTTTCTTTCTTACCCACAACTATTTTCCTCTCTCATTGAAGAACTTCTATTTGTATTTTTTATGGGATAGGTCTGGTAGAGATAGATTCTGTTGCTTTTCTTATCTGGTAAAAGGCTTGTATGTAAAAGGTTGAGATAAATGAGAGTGTACATTTTATATATGTATTTGCTTAAATAAACTCAAAAGAAGGATGAACCCTATAAAAGTGGAATGAATAAAAACAAGAAAGGAATTGAGAATATAGAATAAATCATGTCATTTATGTATCTTTGCATTTTATTCTAAGCCTTCTGGATATATTACCTGTACATACAATTAAAGATTAAAACTTGAAGTAACTTTTCAAAGACAACATGTACTTACCTAATGGTACAAGATGATTTAAACACAAAAGCATGGAATAAATTAATAGAAAAAAATGGATCATGGTAGAAATGTAAAGCTTGAAAATGTAAGAGACATTTTACTTATTTACTGTGGAAGTGGGGAATCAAATGGAAAATTTAATCATAACCAAGATTATTAGGAAAGAAAGCACCTTTCTGGGCACCAGTGGCTCACACCTGTAATCCTAGCTACTCAGGAAGCTGAGATCTGAAGATCAAGGTTTAAGGCTAGCCCAGGCAGAAAAGTCTGTGAGATTTTTACCAATTAACCACACCTGGCAGTAGAAGTGTGGCCCAAGTGGTAGAACACCAATCTTGGGCAAAAAGAGACAATGCCCAGGCCCTGAGTTCAAGCTCCAGTACTGACACAAATAGACACACAAAATCAGCAAAATGCTAATCAAATGCAAACACTTGATAGACATATAAAGCTTTTCATTGTAAAATTATTTGGCTTACAAAAATTTGCAAACCAGTACGAAGATTATTTAGTTTTTCTCAAGCAACATTCCCTACATAAATGTGTTTTTCTTCACTTTTGTTATTTCTAATTTTCTCAACAAGTAAATAGGTGTATAGACACAAAGATGGCTAGAATTTTTCTCATGCAGGGGAAAGAGGTCAAAGGAAGCAAACCTGTAATTTTATAGCATGAATTAGTCTAGGGATCTAATGTACAGTATGATAACTATAGTTCAAAAGATAATGCATTACTGAAAAATTGCTATGGGTTTTAGGTATTCACTACAAAAATCCAAGCATGGAAAGTGATAGATATGCTTTTATTATATATATATATATATATATATATATATATATATATACCCAAAGAACATGTAAACCTTAAACATAGTCATTGAAAATATTCTTTTTTTGGGGGGGGATATTTGAGTACTGCCAACACAATTGACCTTTTATCTCTGGATATATCAACGATTAATTCCTACACCGAAGCATATTCTATGAGGTAAACCTATTAAAATTATTGAAACAAGGAAATCAAAACTTATCCAATTCTTCATGCCATTTACAGAGTTTCTCCCACAAATATCCTTTAATCTTAATAGGAGATCCAAACCAGGTGTGCATTCAGTCATCATCATCTTCAATGTGTATCATCCTTCAATCTTCCTTCATCTTGACACTTTTGAAGAGTGAAGGACCATGTTTTTGCAGACTGTTGCTCATGTTGGCTCTCCCTTTGTGCTTTGCATGGGTGGATCTGGGTCTGTGCCTGCTTCTCTATATGCTTGTCTGGCAGGGAAGAAAATGAACCTGCACATTGGTCAGGGAAAAGCTGGGTTGGAGGAGGGTACAATCTAAAGTGCATTGCACGCTGTTTTCTGTAGGCTGTAACATGCTGTCGAGTTAGAGTGACCCCCTTTATTTAAGTTCTACTGATTTTAATGATTGGAATACATTTATTTTTGGAATATGCTAATGAAAAGTTTTAACACTAGAAAAAGTATTTAATTCCAGGGTTGTATGTCTTTCCCAAGACATGTGAATGAGTTTGACAGTGTGAGTCAAAGGCCTTGCTCGGGGCTGGTGGCTCATTCCAGGTCATCTTAGCTATTTAGGAGGCCTAGATCAAGAGGATTGCAGTTCCAGGTCAGCTCAGGAAAACAGAAAGTTCCCGGCACCCTATCTCAACCAATATGCAGGGATGGTAGTGAGTGCCTATCACCCAAGGTGTGTGGGAGTTTGAGGTTAGGTTCGTGGTTCCAAGCTGGTGTGGATGGGAAAACCTGCTAGACTCCATCTAAATGGAAACAGTTGAGTAAGATGCATGGGCTGGTGACCCCAACTATGGTGTAGAAGTGAAAAACAGGAGGATTGTG